AGAAGCAAGAGGGACATGTAGTCGTCAGAGCAGATTGTAAAAACTGCAGAATCTCTTTCGGCGATGATTCGTGCAATACCAGCACCGGCAGCCAACTGAATAGCCTGGAGACAAGCCGTCATTTCCGCATGGGGCACATCAGCAAAGATGTCCTGATGTCCATGTCCACTTTGTTAATCGGAACGCCATCGGTATTGATTTTCAGAAGGTTTCCAGTTGGGTGCGTTCCGGCTGTCCCAAAGAGCCCAAAGCAGGACAACAACAGAAACGGGTGCATCAACCGGAAATTAGTGGATGAAAGCTGGTAGGAATGTAGAGGAGCTCTGTAGCCATGTAGCCATTTAAGGGATCTTCAATATGCACGTTGGTTTGATGTAACAAGGGGAAGCAAGGGCGAACTAACTAAGAAGCTTACTGGGTGGTATGGCCACACAATATGCATGCTGCCGACCTAGCTACGGTTACGGTTTACCTAATAAACCGTATAGTGCCTTCGTTCAAAAAAACACTATCAGATTTTTCATGGCCAAAACTCCCCGTATAGTGCCCTCTTACCATCTATCTCCCTCAAACCACCAAGCAGAAATTCATTCATGAACACTAGGAACACAAGGATAGTTTCAGTTTTGCCTTGGATGCTTGAGGCTGAAACCGGAGCCATGCTGCTACAGAGTCGATACAGGCACTTGCTGCTTCAGTGTTATATGACCTCAAAATTCGAAATTCAGAAACGACACTGCAAAGCTGCACTGGACTGGACAGAGCGTATGTGCATCATTACAGACATCATTTAATATATAAAAGGGATTTCTCACCAGTAAACTATGAGCAAGACTGCCATGGGAAGTGTGCAACATTGCCTATTTGAACATACCTGCTGCATGAATAAATACCCACAAGCAAACATAATTTCTTACCAGAGAATATGTTGACACAATTCTGGGCAGATTATGATTGCCGATGTTCCGTTAACGCCATTCTCTACTCAAAACAGGCCAGAACTAATTAGCATTTAGGAGAAAAGAAAGTGACAACGTTTCATCCAAAGTGTTTTGCCATCAACAAACACATACCTAGCAGTACGTTTGCAAGGGTATATATTTTCATTGCTATCAAACGGGCCTAATTGTGTCAACCTCTTTTCTGTGAATGTTAGTCCAAATACAATCTACAACGTGAAAAGGATGTAGACACACATAGCATTTTACCCTTCAACACTACAACGTGAACGAATATCAGAGGAATCAGACAAGTTGCATCACTAGTCATTACTGAACCACCATTGCTCCAAATTTAAAAGGATGTAGACACAGCAGTCAATGAACATGAGAACAAAATTGAATCAGACATGGCAAGGCCGGCGCTCCATTGCATGAACAATTGACTACCATTGACGTTTCACTTCTTATAAAGCACGAGAATCTGCTATTGATTTCACAAGTGCAATGATGGTAACGCCGCATAGAATGGTACATATGGTAGGTATGGTCGGGCTCCATATTCAAGATTGGAGACCACCTTTACTTGCTGACGGTCCATATTATAGCACATGAATTCCGACATGAATTCGGTATCCCGCCCCGCTGTGAAGAAGATCAAGTCACAGTCCGGATGAATCGACATCCAACGGTGACCAATACGATGTGTCCCTCCAGACATGTGTAAAGCTTCAACACTATGCTTCAACGTCCACTTTTTGTTGCCATAGTCCTCGAGAACATAAACAACTAGTCGATCCACATCACCATTTTTTCTCTGAAAACTGGAATAATGCAAGCAGCCATGTGACTGCTGAACAAAAGAATTATACGGACCACTAGGGACAGGGACGATCCTCCATGTCCCCTCTGTGTCCACTGCAACCAGACAAAGGAGTGACATGCTGCCAAATGCGTGAAAATGCATGCAGCCATTGAGGAAAGCACTAGGCTGGTACTGAGGAGTAACAAGCCAAAAGTTTTCGTTCCATCTCTTCTCTTTACGAGCCCACCGTCCAGTTTCCGACGAAAACACATCCACTCTGGTGAGGCATAAGTCCTCGCTGGATTCAGGTAGCAACATAAACACGCAGAAGTGGGAAGACACGGCCGGATCAAAACCCAGACGCACGGTGTTCTCATCGTCGACCTTGCCGGGTTCCGGTAGCATGACCCACTCCTCCGTCGCGGGATTGCACACGATGTAACGGCCCTCGTCACCCCTAGCAGCGTAACAGCGGCACAGGAGGAGGCCGTTGCAGCAGTCCAACAGATCGACACGCCGGTGGTTGGGCAGGAAGGCAAAAGACGTGTCTATCAGAGTGCGGCATCTCCCTGAGAGACCGGTGAAGCCGAAAGATGATTCCGGAAGCAGCATCTCCCCCGCGGCGCTCCTGGTGTAGATGAAGCCGGCTAGGGTTTGGGGGAGCTTTTTGCCGTGGTCGGGGCGCTCGATGAGGCTGAGCCAGTGCTTGGAGACGCACTTGAAGCGGCAGAGCGACTTGACGGGGACGCGCGAGAGGATCTCCACGAGGAGGTCGTCGGTGAGTCTCTCGACCCATGCCACTGGAGGAGGAGAAGAGAAGGACCTGCACAAACGCAGAAAGATGGAGAAGTTAGGGTCTCGCTGAAGGAGGAGGAAAGACGAGGATTATTCCCTGGTGCTTCGTGTACCCGAGTCGAGTCGAGGTGCCGCCTTCCTCCGACGTGAGCGAGCGATTCGCCAGGGTGGACATGACGACAGAATAAAGCGGCGACGGCGGCACCGTCGAGCGTCAGGGAGGGAATTGGAAACCTACGGAATTTTTCTTTCTGATGATGATGATGATATCGAAGAGTAAATTACACGCACGGTCCTTCAACTCGTCGGCCTGCTCCAAAACAGTCCCGGGACTTGTGAATCGCTCCAAAACAATCCTCATACTTGCCATTACGCTACACGTACGGTCCTGTGTACGTTTCCGCATACGCTGGACGCGCCAGGTCATCCTCGCGAGCGGGTCCAGCCGGACCGCTTAAAGGTTAGGGCATTTCAGGGGAAATTTGACTATCCCAAGCCCGATCTGATTTAAGCGGTCTGGCTGGACCCGCTCGCGAGGATGACCTGGCGCGTCCGGCGTATGCGAAAACGTACACAGGACCGTACGTGTAGCGCAATAGCAAGTATGAGGACTGTTTTGGAGCGATTCACAAGTCCCGGGACTGTTTTGGAGCAGGCCGACGAGTTGAAGGACGGTGTGTGTAATTTACTCGATATCGAAGAGACTTTGTAACCTGTTCGGAACTACGGAGCTCTTAATTTTGGGTGCCGCTGGCAATTGGGCCGTCAAAATATGAAGGGGGCCGCGAACTTAGTCTGATTTAGTCTGTCCAATCACAATGATTTGACCGGTCAGACTCAAGAGAACTCCTATTTTGGTCTGCTAGTCCAGATACCGGTCTAACTACTTCATCTATATCTATACCTAATACCTAATAATATTAAAGTACGGAGCCTTTGCTGGTTCTCCACAAGTCACTTATTTATATCCGTTGATTTTGTGTAAATCATAAAGATTGATGGTTGAGATTTAATCGATCTACGACAACTGTTCGGACCAAAATAGGGACCAATCAATTTTTGTACGCTAAAGTTTCCTACACGACGGGTTTTTTTTACGAGAAGGCCATCATGGCTAGCTTTATTAAAACTCAAATGACACTTACATCATCAGGGTTCGCTGACAGACACGGTAAGCTGGCTTGGGTCATGTATTTGTGCGTTGATGGGCTTTTATGGAACGCCATCCATATGTGGGCTTTTATCTATGTGTTCGTTTTCTAGTAGAAAGAAAAAAAAATCTATGCGTTCATCTGTTGATTCTTCTGTTGGTCATTTAGTTTCAGACAAACCGATCCCAACACATCCGTAGGAGTTCGTATGCAACATCTCCACGTCTTTTAAATACCTCTTCCAAATCAAAACAATATCCTAGTAATCAGCCTTAGCGGAAGGCGGTCTGGACGCAATGGCGCTAAAGTGCGTCGTCCGGTACGCGGCCGCACCGACGCCGGCACCATCATATCGCCGTCTTCCGTCCACACGATGGACCTCACCACCTTTTGCGTGATGGTCGCCCGCACCTGCGCCATCGCCGGCCGGAGCCTCAGCTGTGTCGCAACGCGATCGATGGCGACGCGTCATCGCCTTCCTCCACGACATCGTGGTCGTCGCCCAGCCTGCCGTCCACGAGCCCTGCCACCCCGGCCACCGTCACGCATGGCAGCACCTTCGCTGCTAGTGATGGCCTTGAGCAGCAGCACGTGAAGCCATACACATCGGACTTCGTGGACGAGATGCCCATGCGGAAGAAGAAGGGGCCCACATAGCCTGCGGAGGCGGCCGAGAAGGTGCCCTCGCAAGCCGACCCCGGGTCACAGAGCCGCGACCATCGCCGTCCAAGAGCACGTTGGAGGATGAGACGTCGCCGCGCACCATGGAGATGTTGTCGTGGGGGTGCTCCAGCGCAATGGCCATGTCGTGGAGGACGCGCATGCGATGGTGCCAGGTGAGCGGCGGCGTGGTGGAGTGGAGCTGGTCAGCTAGGCTGAGGCTGCCGCCGGGCATGTACACCAACACCAGCGCTCCCCACGGCGCACAAAACTAGCGCACCACGACGCATGCTGCTGTCCCGTTCTAAAACGATGTTGTCCTCGCCGCATACCATGCACCACGTGATCCAACCTAGCGACGACATGGTCTCCATCTGTGTTTTTCTCGCATCACCCAGCTGTTGGAGCCGTGGCCTTTCCCTAGATACCTCTCCCTCTCAACTCACTTGCTCGAACAAGAAAGAAGGAAGGAGATGAACACAGTGGACACAAGTTTTTCGGGCCGGCGCACGAACGCCGCCGTGGTTGCAGCCGCCCGACGCCACCGTGTGCTTCCAGCACGAGCCGCCGCAGATGTCGTGCAACGCAGCCACCACGCCGGCCACTATTGCGCACCACCGCCGCGCTGCGCCCCGTCGAGCGCCACTTGATGCCGCTGCCGAAACCCGAAACCCGCAGCTCCATGCGCCGCCATGTCGCGTCTCCGTGCCTCGCATCACTGCGCTCTCTGGCACCGCAGCCTCCATGTCCGCTTCGCGCTCCGCGGACGCTGTCGCGCGCCACGGCCGCCCCTCGAACATGGCTCTGAATACCAATTGTTGAAGCCGTGGCCTTGCCTTAGCTACCTCTCCCTCTCAACTCACTCACTCGAACAAGAAAGATGGAAGGAGATGAAAACAGTGGACACAAGTTTCTCGGGCCGGCGCACGAACGCCGCCGTGGGCGCACGAACGCCCCAATCTTTTCTTTGTATTCACAGGCTACATGCTCGGCAACTCCCTAGTACAAACACACTCGTGGCCGGGCCTTTTGTAGTCCCACGGCAGCGCAGCTCCCACGTTACCTGTGCGCACTGATGACCCACAAGTGTAGGGGATCAATCATAATCCTTTCGATAAGTAAGAGTGTCGAACCCAACGAGGAGCAGAAGATAATGATAAGTGATTTTCGGTAAGGTTTTCTCTGCAAGCACTGAAATTGTAGGTGATAGATAGTTTTGTGATAAGATAAATAGTAACGGGTAACAAATAAATAAAGTAAATAAAGTGCAGCAAGGTGGCCGAATCCTTTATGTAGCAAAGGATAAGCCTGGACAATTTCTAATAATGAGAAAGGAGCTCCCGAGGACACATGGGAATTATCGTCAAGCTAGTTTTCATCACATTCATATGATTCACGTTCAGTACTTTGATAATTTGATATGTGGGTGGACCGGTACTTGGGTACTGCCCTTACTTGGACAAACATCCCACTTATGATTAACCCCTATTGCAAGCGTCCGCAACTACAAAAGAAGTATTAAGGTAAACCTAACCACATCATTAAACATATGAATCCAAATCAGCCCCTAACGAAGCAACGCATAAACTAGGGTTTAAAATTCTGTCACTCTAGCAACCCATCATCTACTTATTACTTCCCCATGCCTTCCTCTAGGCCCAAATAATGGTGAAGTGTTATGTAGTCGACGTTCACATAACACCACTAGAGGAAAAGACAACATACATCTCATCAAAATATCGAACGAATACCAAATTCACATGAGTACTAATAGCAAGACTTCACCCATGTCCTCAGGAACAAACGTAACTACTCACAAAGCATATTCATGTTCATAATCAGAGGAGTAATAATATGCATAAAGGATCTGAACATATGATCTTCCACCAAGTAAACCAATTAGCATCAACTACAAGGAGTAATCAACACTACTAGCAACCCACAGGTACCAATTTATGGTTTTGATACAAGATTGGATACAAGAGATGAACTAGGGTTTTGAGAGGAGATGGTGCTGGTGAAGATGTTGATGGAGATTGACCCCCTCCCGATGAGAGGATCATTGGTGATGATGTTGGTGATGATTTCCCCCTCCCGGAGGGAAGTGTCCCCGGCAGAATAGCTCCGTCAGGGCCCTAAATTGGTTCCGCCAAGGTTCCGCCTCGTGGCGGCGGAGTTTCATCCCGTAAGCTTGCCCACGATTTTTTCCAGGGTAAAAGCTCTGATATAGCAGAAGATGGACACCGGAGGCCCACCAGGGGGGCCAGGAGATAGGGGCGCACCCTATAGGGGGGGGGGCGCCCTCCTCTCTCCTGGACAGGGTGTGGGGCCCCTGGTGTATTTCTTTCGCTCAAAAATTCTTATTAAATCCAAAAAGATGTTTCGTGGAGTTTCAGGACTTTTGGAGTTGTGCACAATAGGTTTCCAACATTTGCTTCTTTTCCAGCCAGAATTCCAGCTGCCGACATTCCCCCTCTTCATGGTAAACCTTGTAAAATAAGATAGAATAGCCATAAGTATTGAGATATAATGTGTAATAACATCCCATAATGCAATAAATATTGACATAAAAGCATGATGCAAAATGGATGTATCAACTCCCCCAAGCTTAGACCTCGCTTGTCCTCAAGCGGAAGCCGAAATCAAAAAATATGTCCACATGTTTAGAGATAGAGGTGTCGATAAAAATAAAATACGGATATGAGGGCATCATGATCATTCTTATAATAGCAACATATATAGATTTTATCATATGACTTCTTATGCTCAAGTAACAATCAATTCACAATTTCAAGTATGGTTCAAAAACTTCATTGGGAACTAACAAACTATAATCTCAGTCATTGAAGCAATTGCAATTTATCGTAACATCAGAAAGAGTCAACAATAGAGCTTTTCAGCAAGCTCACATACTCAACTATCTCGTAGTCTTCTACAATTGCTAACACTCACGCAGTACTTGTGGTTATGGAGTTTCAGCCGGACACTGAGAAAGATAGGGGCTTA